AGAGAGAGAGAGAGAGAGAGAGAGAGGTGATTGAAAGTAAGTAACGGGAAAACAGAAGAGCTATGTTGCTTGGTTGTTTGTAGCTTAAACAAAGCCACGTTCCATGCCAAACCTGTTTGGACACACGGTTCAATTCACTCCCCTACATATTCTAAACAATGAATTGAACCCCATGTCCAAACATGTTTTTTAACTTTTTTTTTGGGGTTAATTATAATCTGCCCCCTCCAACTATATCCCTCATTGCAATCAGTTCCATGTAGTTTTAAATGCTGCAATTTGCCCCCTCCAAATTTTAAGTAGATTAAATTGACCGACAACAGTGGCTCAACACTTGAAAGAACCGCTAAACCTTTCGTCTTGTACATTATTTGCCATATTTTTTTTTTGAGATACTAATTTTATCCCTGAAAAAATAAGAAAACAAAAAAGTCAAGACTAAAAAATAAAAAAATCTTTTCATCTGTCTTCAACTTCACCTCATCATAGGAAATGAAGGGTGTCTACCGAAAGGAGGAAGGAAATAAGAGTTAAACATCCGAAGTAGGCGAGAAAGAAAGGGCAAGGGGGAAGTATGAATATTTGGTATAGAGGAAAAAATAGGAATAAGAGTAATACAGGAATCACGTGAATTTGACATATTTAACTTTTATCAATTTTTATTATCTAAAAGAAATTATTGAAATTAATTATAAAATATTCAAACTTAAAAGGAGTTATTTATTGAAATTAAAACTTAAATGAGCGAGTTACAAACTATCCAAAATTAAAAAGTGTATTTTGTAATTATCCTTTTTTTTTTCTTTTGTCAATTGCTAATGTTCCACTGGCCTTGATAAGCAGATAGAAGTACCAAGGTATGTATCGGTATCATATATAAAATCATGGATGTATATAGAGGTGATGTTTCATTTTCTTAAGATGATGATTGATTTCACTATTGAGAGAGTGCATTAGCGTGTTTATCTGTACCTAGCTGCATTGCGGATTCTTGGCTACATGACGATGGACCAACCGGATGAGAGGTGTTCGAGAATTTTATATAAAAAAACCAACCACGATAAATAGAAGAAGAGTAGGAGTACAAGCTAAATTGGGATTACCTTTGAGGCTCTAACAAACCTTGTGTTTGGTCTCGAGAGGTGTTTTAGGTGTGGTCAAAGGCTTTATAATCTCATCGGTGAGGCCCTACCGGAATGGTCACTGGGCGTTCTTCTTTTGCCCCCACTCCTTTTTTTAACCAGCAAAAAAAAAAAAAAAACCTTGTGTTTGATGTTGTACTTCACATAATTGCATCACAATCGATCTTAGTTGATTCTTTATTATTTTACTCCTATATGACTACAGGAGAATATGAGATCAATTGTTAAGATTCCATCTGGCAAAAAAACCCTAGTTATTATTTTAAAATTTTCAATACTTATTTTCTATATGGATGCGGAGCAAAGAAGGAATTTGTTGATGAATCTTCACCTTTCATGATATCTTCTTTTCTTTTATCCTCTTAATTTTATCGGATAAACTTTTTAACTATGACTGTTAAATTTCGACACGATACGATTAACTAATACGAATTAAACGGGTTTGAGTGAGATCTTAACAGGTTTGGATGATAAACGGGCTGATACGCCAAACACTTTTAATAAATGGGTCGTGTTCGGGTGAGATCTGTCAAACCGTTTATCACACGTTTACCCGTTTAAATAAAATTAATATAATAATAAATTAATAATTATTTTTAAAAATTAGCAAGAAAAAAAGAAGTAAAGAAATCAATAAAAAAAACGAAGTAAAATAGTAGTTCAAAGACAAAGGAGAAGAGTTGGAGAGCACTTCAAAGGCAAAGACAAACAAATGTCTTCTGTTTTTGTCCGACATTGAAAAATGATGAGAGATGGGGAGGATTGAGTTGCCTATAAAAGACAATGACCTTTTGATTTTATTTTTAAAACCTTCAAGTCTTATTTTTCAAAGACAAAAGAAAGGAGTTGTAGAGTACTTCAAAGACAAAGGCAAACCAATGTTTTTTATTTTTGTCCCACATTAAAAAATGAGGAGAGATGATGAGAGTGAGTTGCCTATAAAAGACAATGGCCTCTTACTTTTTTATTTAAAGCCTTTAAGTCTTATTTTTATGAGATTTGATTTAAAATTCCTTTTTTTTTTGAGATAAGTGCAATTAGTATTAAAAAAAAATGGAGTATTAAAATTTGTTGATATAATTTTTTTAAAATTAAATGGGTTAAACGAGTCGTGTCGTATTACCGGTTTATTAAACGGGTCGTGTATAAGTTTATATGTTTTTTACCCGTCACTCGTTTAACCCGACACATAACTGTTTAACCCGACACGATTGACATCCCCTACTTTTAACGACTTAGTGCATCTACAAGAGAGGAGTTAAAATACACAAAAACTTCAAAATTTAGCTATTTTACCCTAAAATTCCACTCCAACAGCACATCTTTAAGAGTATCTCCAATAACAAAAATTATTTTAGTTACTCAAAAAATAATATAATGAAAGAGAGAAAGAGAGAGAATGAAAGAAAGGAAAGGAAGATAGAGAAATTATTATAAATTTTTTTACATATTAGAGTATCACTGTAACAAAATGTTATTATAGATATTTTTAAGAAAATCTGTTGGAATAAAATTTTTGGCCTAAATAACTAAAATTTGAAGTTTTAGATCATCTGTTAGAGATGGTCTAAAACATCTCAAATAACATTTTTGTTACAATGACACTCTATATATAGCAACATGCTCTAAAACATCTCAAATAACATTTTTGTTGCAATGACACTCTATATATAGCAACATCTATAAGTACTTTATAATATTTTCTCTCTCCTCCTTTCCTTTCATCTATTCTCTTTCTTTGTCTTTCTCTCACTACTCTAAAAAAAAAACAATATAAAAATAATAAGAAATAATATTTAAAAATATAAAAAATTTGTTTCGGTGTATATTGACAAAGTGAATATTTAAAATAGAAAAAAATTGTAACTGAACTAACTTTTATTGGTAGAGACCCTCTTATAACTCCACAAAATCATATATGTTTCCACCTGAATCTCATACCAACACCAGATCCCTAACTATGGGCTTTTGTATGAAGGAAGACCCAACAATTAGAAAGTCATAAATTATGTTAAGTTTCAACCTTCACAATGTATTAAATGTCCTTTAGTACAATTTTTTTTTTCCTTAATTTTTGTCAATGGTAGATCACTTGACAAGAATNAGAGTGCATTAGCGTGTTTATCTGTACCTAGCTGCATTGCGGATTCTTGGCTACACGACGATGGACCAACCGGATGAGAGGTGTTCGAGAATTTTATATAAAAAAACCAACCACGATAAATAGAAGAAGAGTAGGAGTACGAGTTAAATTGGGATTACCTTTGAGGCTCTAACAAACCTTGTGTTTGGTCTCGAGAGGTGTTTTAGGTGTGGTCAAAGACTTTATAATCTCATCGGTGAGGCCCTACCGGAGTGGTCACTAGGCGTTCTTCTTTTGCCCCCACTCCTTTTTTTAACCAGTAAAAAAAAAAAAAAAAATCTTGTGTTTGATGTTGTACTTCACATAATTGCATCACAATCGATCTTAGTTGATTCTTTATTATTTTACTCCTATATGACTACAGGAGAATATGAGATCAATTGTTAAGATTCCATTTGGCAAAAAAACCCTAGTTATTATTTTAAAATTTTCAATACTTATTTTCTATATGGATGTGGAGCAAAGAAGGAATTTGTTGATGAATCTTCACCTTTCATGATATCTTCTTTCCTTTTATCCTCTTAATTTTATCGGATAAACTTTTTAACTATGACTGTTAAATTTCGACACGATACGATTAACCAATACGAATTAAACGGGTTTGAGTGAGATCTTAACAGGTTTGGGTGATAAACGGGTTGATACGCCAAACACTTTTAATAAATGGGTCGTGTTCGGGTGAGATCTGTCAAACCGTTTATCACACGTTTACCCGTTTAAATAAAATTAATATAATAATAAATTAATAATTATTTTTAAAAATTAGCAAGAAAAAAAGAAGTAAAGAAATCAATAAAAAAACGAAGTAAAATAGTAGTTCAAAGATAAAGGAGAAGAGTTGGAGAGCACTTCAAAGGCAAAGACAAACAAATGTCTTCTGTTTTTGTCCTACATTGAAAAATGATGGGAGATGGGGAGGATTGAGTTGCCTATAAAAGACAATGACCTTTTGATTTTATTTTTAAAACCTTCAAGTCTTATTTTTCAAAGACAAAAGAAAGGAGTTGTAGAGTACTTCAAAGACAAAGGCAAACCAATGTTTTTTATTTTTGTTCCACATTAAAAAATGAGGAGAGTGAGTTGCCTATAAAAGACAATGACCTCTTACTTTTTTATTTAAAGCCTTTAAGTCTTATTTTTATGAGATTTGATTTAAAATTCTTTTTTTTTTTGAGATAAGTGCAATTAGTATTAAAAAAAAATAGAGTATTAAAATTTGTTGATATAATTTTTTTAAAATTAAATGGGTTAAACGAGTCGTGTCGTATTACCAATTTATTAAACGGGTCGTGAATAAGTTTATATGTTTTTTATCCGTCACTCGTTTAACCCGACACATAACTGTTTAACCCGACACGATTGACATCCCCTACTTTTAACGACTTAGTGCATCTACAAGAGAGGAGTTAAAATACACAAAAACTTCAAAATTTAGCTATTTTACCCTAAAATTCCACTCCAACAGCACATCTTTAAGAGTATCTCCAATAACAAAAATTATTTTAGTTACTCAAAAAATAATATTTTCTATTTTAGCTACACACTTTCAATACACACTATAACAGATTTTTTATATTTTTAACTAATCTTTTTAATTATTATTTTTTATTTCTTTTGTATTATTTTTTTTGGGAATAATGAAAGAGGGAAAGAGAGAGAATGAAAGAAAGGAAAAGAAGATAAAGAAATTATTATAAATTTTTTTACATATTAGAGTATCACTGTAACAAAATGTTATTATAGATATTTTTAAGATAATCTGTTGGAATAAAATTTTTGGCCTAAATAACTAAAATTTGAAGTTTTAGATCATCTGTTAGAGATGGTCTAAAACATCTCAAATAACATTTTTGTTACAATGACACTCTATATATAGCAACATGCTCTAAAACATCTCAAATAACATTTTTGTTGCAATGACACTCAATATATAGCAACATCTATAAGTACTTTATAATATTTTCTCTCTCCTCCTTTCCTTTCATCTATTCTCTTTCTTTGTCTTTCTCTCACTACTCTAAAAAAAAAACAATATAAAAATAATAAGAAATAATATTTAAAAATATAAAAAATTTGTTTCGGTGTATATTAAAAAAGTGAATATTTAAAATAAAAAAAAATTGTAACTGAACTAACTTTTATTGGTAGAGAACCTCTTATAACTCCACAAAATCATATACGTTTCCACCTGAATCTCATACCAACACCAGATCCCTAACTATGGGCTTTTATATGAAGGAAGACCCAACAATTAGAAAGTCATAAATTATGTTAAGTTTCAACCTTCACAATGTATTAAATGTCCTATAGTACAATTTTTTTTTTCCTTAATTTTTGTCAATGGTAGATCACTTGACAAGAATTTACATAAAAATCCTTATAACCCCTCATCAATTCATAATAGGTATATACCACTAAAGAGAATTACAAAAATATATTAGAGAATACCCAAATCTCTTCAAAAGTAGCCTTGCTCTAATCGCAACAAGTTCCCCCAAACATGTGTGCAAGTGAGTATCTGTGTGTGTGTGTGTGTGAGAGAGAGAGAGAGAGAGAGAGAGCACAAGCATTTTTGCACAGAATATGATCACCAATACCGCTTAGAAACCGATTATAGCATCAAAGCATGCACCATTTGGGCCACGTCCACAATAGCACACCAAAAGAAAACTTCTATTCAGTGTCTACCTCAATGCCCCTACAAGCACTCTGTTGTGCAACAACTTCCTAACATAACACAAAACCTAATTTGGCAGCAGTTCTCAGCTTTCTTCATCCACAAACCCAAACACAGTAAAGCCTACCTTCAACCTGGGGCATACATACACTTGACAAAGGTGTATGCGAGGCTGCTCACAAAACATATACATAGGAACTATTGGAAGCAGTACATATCCTTCCCGACTTGTATTTACAGTTTAACAAAAAAGAACATCCACCTATAGAACTAAAATATCTTGGCAACCACCCGAGTCAATGGTTAGATGGATAACTATAGCTCCAACGGCGAGTCGAACCCAATCAACAGGTCACCATGATAAAAACTGTGGTGTTATATCCGATTATAAGAATGACAACTCCTTTTCTCCTATTACTGGCCATCTTTGAGTAAGTAGGAATAGAATACCTTCATCCCACCAAACAGTCGATACATCCACAGCAGCACCGTTCTGGTAAACTGAAGTTCCTCCAAGTTCTTCCATACAAACCTTTTCTTTGCTCTCCTGCAACTCTTCTTACACCTGAGTCTTCTGTCTAGTAAAAGAGATGGCATCCAGCCACTAGCAGTTGTAAACTCCTATTTGGTAAGAGACCAAGATCCAACGAGACAAACAATAACCTATCATGTCCAAAAGCAGCTTATGACAAGAAGCCATGGCATATTCCAGGAATCAAGTTTCACAATCTTCTAATCAACTAGCCAAGCGAGAATTGAAATTTAAACTGTTAAATTAGTTCAGATAAAAAAGAGTATTAAATGTGCTTAAATTAGCAATTTAATAATCATGGGTCATGGACAAAATTCTAAAAGAAATTGCACAAAGTGCAAATAAAAAAATGAAGCAAAAAAGTGCTGCCACAAATTATGGGAAAGAACAAAAAACACAAAATCCATTCACAATTGTTATACAATTTGAAATTCTAAGTCCATTAGGCAGCGATATATGAGGACAGAAGCACTTTACCTAGTATTCCAGTTAAAATGTCTAAGACTTGTCAGTTGTCACAATTTCATATGCAATGATAAGCCCCAACAACATGGCTTTTTAATATCACAAATCATGTGACGCTGTTCTGTTCCTTCTATACACTCCCCATAATTGGAATCAGTCTTAGACTCTTCCACACCTTCTAACACAGGCAAAAAAGAAGAAAGTACAACCCTGTTTCTAATTACTACTATTTGACAAAATCACCCATATGTTTCGCCTCTCAAAACACTCTGATGAAAAAGAGCCTGTATTTATCAACCATCAATAACTCTGACTAGACATCTGACAAGTGCTCAACAAGAGAATATTAATGTGATAATTTGTTCCTAAAGCACTATCTATCTACAAAAAAAGCAGTAAAAAAATTTCCATACCAAGTATAAGATAGCTAAAAACAATACACAAAGATTTGAAGCTTACCATTTATAGCAATACTAAGAACCAGAACTTGACTTTTGAACCCACACTTGTTTCTGCATTTACACCATAATTAACACAAACTAATCAGTAAAAATGATATCATGAAGGTTCAAGGGGATTCTTAATCTGTGCGGTGAATGATGGTATCATGGAAACAGTTGTTCATGGCCATTTATCTGTGAGTTTCAGGCCTCGATCCAAGTTATTTTGGTCCAGCTATATATTGTAGCCTTTGGAGTACACCAGGCTATGTCAAAAAATTTGCGAGCGAAACACATAAACAAGTTGTGAATATGACACCAAAATATAAAGCAAAACACACCTCATGGGAGACGTAGCCAGAAGAACCTCCCTTTTTTAAAGGTTTCCCCTCATTTACAATTGAACCACCATCCGCATCCTTCACATTATGAGCTGATACCCGTCGACCACCGTGTTTATACGAACCTACATCAAGAGACCAAAGTTAGGAATATACAGATCACAAAAATGAAAGTCTATGCATGCATATGAGTATGTTATACACACATATGGATCATTTCATGCTCCATAAATAAACCTAACCATTATCAAAGGAAAAATGTCCACTGCGCCCACTTCCAATGATTCTAAACTCTCCACTCCGTGCATTTGGCATGTCATTCTTTACTTCTCCATGAGCTCCTAGAAAACCACATGGACAAATAAAAAACATCTAAGACAAGTACAAAAGAATCTGGGGACACATGTTTCGCACAATTAATCAATAATTTGGTTCTTTATTATTACTTGCATGCATGAATATGACATGGGGAATTATCCTTTTGAAATATGCTTATAACCACTATGAACTATACTGTAATCATATTTTTTAGACCCTGAAACATATAGGTTAAAGTCATGACCACACCTTCTGTGGAATCTTGCAGTAATTGTGTAGATTGAGAAGCAGACGATGACAAAGACTCATCACTAGCAAGTGATCCGTCTGACCGCCTTAGAGGAGTCCAAACACCACGATCAGGTCTATCTTTATTCCTTGTACGTTTTTCTTGCTTCTCAATTTTGAAACCATGCAAATCAGTTCCCTTGTCTTCTGCCCCATTTGTATACTTCAGAACCAATTTCACATTTGGAGAGCGCGGTGGTCTTTTGTCCTTTTCCTGATTTGAGCTCTGCATTAGTTGTTCAGATTGAAAAGCAGATGACAAATGACTTTGACGCATATCCTTGTTTTGAAGTATGCTTCTGATAAACCTTCCACTAGCCTCCCGCTGCTGGTTCTGTTTGAGACCAGCTGAAGCAAGAGAATTCTTAACAGTAGATGTTACACTCTGCTGCATTGATAAGCCACCTGAAAACTACATGGAATGGAAAACTATTAGTTTTTTGCATTTTATAAGTAACAAAGTCAGTTATTCTTAAAGGAAAATAATGGTAGGCCCAAATCCTCGAACAAAGTGTTTTTTAGGGGTTACAGGGGAAGGGGGCTTGCTGTACAAAACAAGGGATGGATATAATCTTTAACAATGTATGAATGGGCAAAAGTTTTAATTAAGTATGGCTTATAATATGGGATTTTGAATCTTCTTTTAAAACATTGATGTGTGAACATGCATGCCAACAACCTAATCAAGAAAAGCCACATGATGTTCAAAGTTGGGCCACCATATAGTGAATTTTCATTCTCAAGTGGCTTTACCAGATTGAAGCATTATCAAGTTTTTGATAACAGTAATGTTCCTCCACCAGTGCTCAGCTCTTTTATCAGAACCGAATGATAAAGCATATTATCAGAATCAGAGCTCAGAACAGGGCAGGGATACAAATAAGTTGCCTTAACCTGCTCCTAGTATAAATGTGAGCACATATTTGGGCCTAACATGTAGGCTGAAGTTAGGTCCGGGGAGGACACAGATTAGTAGCCTGAGTCAACCTGCCCCCTATACCATCCGCTTACTCCAAAAGGAAGAGAACCTACAGTAATTATAGAACAATTCATGATTCAAGCAGCCACTAGTTCTCTCATCAAATAGTGAACACGAGAAGAAGGGGAAACACCATGTCTATACCAGAGGTAGAAGGGGTTGTTCTAGAGGAAGAGGAAGCGATTCAATTGGCGGTCAAAAAGTTCTACAAATAGCTCTATGTGGAACCGCATTTGGTTAGTGGCTTGCTCATTGCAAATTGTTGTTGCTTGATCCCCTCCACTTGCAACTGATTGTCAACATGTCCACTTAAACAAAGACTCGTGTATGTCACAAAATTTCATCAAATCGAAGCTTCAATTTTGTGTCTGCCTGAATTCAGAATCATCAAAGCTAGGAAACACGAATACTTCCCAAAGCCGTGACAGTGTCAGACACGACTAAAAGTGAACTTTGTTGGACACGCCTATAATTTTTTTTTTAAAAAAACGATCATTAATTATTAAAAGAAGTGTGATTTTTATTTATTTTTTAATATATTTTATGATATGAAATTTATATGCTATGGATGTAATGATGTTAGATGGAAATGGTGGATATTTATTTTGACTTATTTTAATCATAAAATTAATATTTGCTAAATCTTATTATTAACATTGTTATATTTTATGCTTTATTTTTAATATATTATAACACTATTATTATCTAAAAAATATATTATATTATTTTAATAGTCGTATTTTTATCATACTCGTGTTCTACATTTTCGAGCTTTGACGTATCCTCGTGTCCGTATTCGTGTTTCCTAGCATCAAGGTCCCTCACACATGCCATAAAACCATTTGTTCATTCGCAATCAACTATGTAGACAAATTGTCCACTTTCTACCGTGATTGTCAAACAGTTGCCAAAGTTTTGCTATTGGTTGGCCTAAATAAGAAACTACTTTTTTGAGAAGGAAGCACCCTCATTAGAATCTCTTTTGAATTCATGCATCACTAGGTCTATCTAAATGCAATTTGTCACTTGCACCAGCAATGGCAAAAGCTGGAGATGGTGTCAATGGCTGTAACAATGAGACAGGTTTTAACAGTGGCACTGACGGCAGTAAGGATGGTACCAGCTACCAATATTGGTTAATGTGTCAAAACAGTACCTAACTGTGGAGATTCAAGTTGTAGATATGAAGATTTAATGTGTGAATCCAAACCCAGAAAATCCTACAACTGGTTGATTATCTTACCTCAGTACATATCTATAAGAGTGCATTGATATAAGGAAAGGTACAAATAAGAGACTAAAGCTAACTGCCTACTATGACATTCCAATCAAAATATAATCTCCCCTTAACTCACATAAAGCAAGAAAACAATCAAATAACGTGTAACTGCACCTGTAACCTTGTACAAATGGTCAAACCTTAACTTCAAGGCTACAAATGAATGTACTGCTCTGAGGCTATTTAGTGACGGCTAAAAAGCTCTGAGGGTATTTAGTGACAGCTAATTTTTAGGAGTACATGCAATGCAACCTTTTTCATTACTAGATCAAGTGAAAAGCCCCAATATCAACATCCACGGTTGAATGAGCCGCTTTTAGTTCTCTTTCTCGGTTGCATCAAGCTGATCATTCTTTCCAAAGACTTTTTTTAGTCAGACTTCTATTTCCTATAAAAGGACTACGTGTCCTTAAGGATTAAAAGGCTGCATTCAAAACATCCATATGTAAATTAAATATGCACGTGTATGTGGAAAAACATGTCATCTGTGAACCACCAGCCACATACAGATGTCTTCCAAAAGGAAAACCATTCAACACATAACTTCACAACCCAGTATAAGATCCCCTTTTTATCTTTATACAGATCAAGGGGGTTTTCAATTTGCATTTTCCTTTTAATGTTATTCTTCCTCCACTTCCTATATTTTCTCCATGTTGTCCTTTTTCCTATTTCTCAAACTACCTACCCAATTGAATTTAACTCTGTTCACCCAAAATGCTTGTATTGGTCCTGTCAGCACAAGAAAACAACCCTCTCCATATTCACCATTTGTAGTAGCAGCGATAATAATAACACCCATCACAGTGTCAAGGCGCAACAGAGTCAATAAGGTTAAGGGTCAAACATAATTCTCCAAGAAAAATGCAATGAATGAAAAACTCACATTAGGAATTTCTTTTTCTTTTCCCTTCACAAGTAGGATTTTCTTCTTCCCAGTATCGGTGGTTCCAGAAACTCCTGAAACAAAATCAGTAGTGTCATACATATTAACTGTTGAATCTGAATGTGAAATTAGTAATCAAGCCAACAGGAGTATATTGGCCAGAAACCAACATTTCCAAGCTAATGTAAACACTCAAATGATTTAGACATAACAGAGAATAACAATGTCCTTAACAAAGAACAAACTACTGATAAATCAAAATCATGACAAACATAGGATCAATATAGAAGCTGTGGACATAAATGGCAAAAGTAAAAAGGAGTTTCTACTAAGATCTGTGTAGGATATTAAGTTATTTCAATTAATTGCATTATTGTAATCATTCCTTTATTATGATTTAATATAAGTATGGGTAATGAGAGGAGAGACATTATTATTCTCCTTAATCCTATTTTTCTAGTCTTCTCTTTTTCTTGCCTTCTCTCTATTCTAAACCCTAAATCTTAATTTCAACTTGGTATCAGAGCAATTTATCTAAACTAAGGAAGCCACTAGAACACTCTGGAAGACTCAAAGGGTCTGCTGGTGGCCGGAATGATGACATCATCCCCGGAATTGATCATGATATGACTCAGTTTTTCCTCCTGAGTACGATTGTGATTTTTTTGGATTTTTTTGAAGCCATCTGAGGTATGTTTCTTATTTTTGAATTTTTTTTCAGATTTTTTGGGTTAAATCTTGTGATTTGCAATTTGGATGAGTTTGATACTGCAATATCTACTCTAAAGTTATCTGGGGGTGCCGATTTGGACTCTTTGGAACTCGGGGAGAGTTTTGTGCAAAGCCTAGTTGTCTTTGGGCAATTTTCGATGGTTTCTTGGCTTCGACAGTCACAGGTTGTGTCTGACAGTACTAGTAGACTTCTTCCCACTGTGTTTCGATGCTATGGCTGAGGTTCTTCTTGTGTCTAGTACCTGTTAGTGAACTCTGTTGGCCAGCAAGGATTCCGGTGGCATTTTGGGACTCTAGCTGGGGGTGTCAAACGTGTCAGGTTAAACGGGTGACAGGTGAAAAACATGAAAACCTGTACACGACATGTTTAATAAACGGGTAAAAAATCTCAACATGAACACGACCCGTTTAATAAGCGAGTAACACGACATGACTTGTTTAACCCGTTTAATTTTTAAAAAAATTATATCAACAAATTTTAATACACCACTTTTTTTTACTGTCAATTGTATTTACCTCAAAAAATAGAAATTTCTAACCAAATTTCACATAAAAATCAAATTTGAAGGCTAAAAATAAGGCAAGAGGGCACTGTTTTTTATAGACAAGNATTTTATGATATGAAATTTATATGCTATGGATGTAATGATGTTAGATGAAAATGGTGGATATTTATTTTGACTTATTTTAATCATAAAATTAATATTTGCTAAATCTTATTATTAACATTGTTATATTTTATGCTTTATTTTTAATATATTATAACACTATTATTATCTAAAAAATATATTATATTATTTTAATAGTCGTATTTTTATCATACTCGTGTTCTACATTTTCGAGCTTTGACGTATCCTCGTGTCCGTATTCGTGTTTCCTAGCATCAAGGTCCCTCACACATGCCATAAAACCATTTGTTCATTCGCAATCAACTATGTAGACAAATTGTCCACTTTCTACCGTGATTGTCAAACAGTTGCCAAAGTTTTGCTATTGGTTGGCCTAAATAAGAAACTACTTTTTTGAGAAGGAAGCACCCTCATTAGAATCTCTTTTGAATTCATGCATCACTAGGTCTATCTAAATGCAATTTGTCACTTGCACCAGCAATGGCAAAAGCTGGAGATGGTGTCAATGGCTGTAACAATGAGACAGGTTTTAACAGTGGCACTGACGGCAGTAAGGATGGTACCAGCTACCAATATTGGTTAATGTGTCAAAACAGTACCTAACTGTGGAGATTCAAGTTGTAGATATGAAGATTTAATGTGTGAATCCAAACCCAGAAAATCCTACAACTGGTTGATTATCTTACCTCAGTACATATCTATAAGAGTGCATTGATATAAGGAAAGGTACAAATAAGAGACTAAAGCTAACTGCCTACTATGACATTCCAATCAAAATATAATCTCCCCTTAACTCACATAAAGCAAGAAAACAATCAAATAACGTGTAACTGCACCTGTAACCTTGTACAAATGGTCAAACCTTAACTTCAAGGCTACAAATGAATGTACTGCTCTGAGGCTATTTAGTGACGGCTAAAAAGCTCTGAGGGTATTTAGTGACAGCTAATTTTTAGGAGTACATGCAATGCAACCTTTTTCATTACTAGATCAAGTGAAAAGCCCCAATATCAACATCCACGGTTGAATGAGCCGCTTTTAGTTCTCTTTCTCGGTTGCATCAAGCTGATCATTCTTTCCAAAGACTTTTTTTAGTCAGACTTCTATTTCCTATAAAAGGACTACGTGTCCTTAAGGATTAAAAGGCTGCATTCAAAACATCCATATGTAAATTAAATATGCACGTGTATGTGGAAAAACATGTCATCTGTGAACCACCAGCCACATACAGATGTCTTCCAAAAGGAAAACCATTCAACACATAACTTCACAACCCAGTATAAGATCCCCTTTTTATCTTTATACAGATCAAGGGGGTTTTCAATTTGCATTTTCCTTTTAATGTTATTCTTCCTCCACTTCCTATATTTTCTCCATGTTGTCCTTTTTCCTATTTCTCAAACTACCTAGCCAATTGAATTTAACTCTGTTCACCCAAAATGCTTGTATTGGTCCTGTCAGCACAAGAAAACAACCCTCTCCATATTCACCATTTGTAGTAGCAGCGATAATAATAACACCCATCACAGTGTCAAGGCGCAACAGAGTCAATAAGGTTAAGGGTCAAACATAATTCTCCAAGAAAAATGCAATGAATGAAAAACTCACATTAGGAATTTCTTTTTCTTTTCCCTTCACAAGTAGGATTTTCTTCTTCCCAGTATCGGTGGTTCCAGAAACTCCTGAAACAAAATCAGTAGTGTCATACATATTAACTGTTGAATCTGAATGTGAAATTAGTAATCAAGCCAACAGGAGTATATTGGCCAGAAACCAACATTTCCAAGCTAATGTAAACACTCAAATGATTTAGACATAACAGAGAATAACAATGTCCTTAACAAAGAACAAACTACTGATAAGTCAAAATCATGACAAACATAGGATCAATATAGAAGCTGTGGACATAAATGGCAAAAGTAAAAAGGAGTTTCTACTAAGATCTGTGTAGGATATTAAGTTATTTCAATTAATTGCATTATTGTAATCATTCCTTTATTATGATTTAATATAAGTATGGGTAATGAGAGGAGAGACATTATTATTCTCCTTAATCCTATTTTTCTAGTCTTCTCTTTTTCTTGCCTTCTCTCTATTCTAAACCCTAAATCTTAATTTCAACTTGGTATCAGAGCAATTTATCTAAACTAAGGAAGCCACTAGAACACTCTGGAAGACTCAAAGGGTCTGCTGGTGGCCGGAATGATGACATCATCCCCGGAATTGATCATGATATGACTCAGTTTTTCCTCCTGAGTACGATTGTGATTTTTTTGGATTTTTTTGAAGCCATCTGAGGTATGTTTCTTATTTTTGAATTTTTTTTCAGATTTTTTGGGTTAAATCTTGTGATTTGCAATTTGGATGAGTTTGATACTGCAATATCTACTCTAAAGTTATCTGGGGGTGCCGATTTGGACTCTTTGGAACTCGGGGAGAGTTTTGTGCAAAGCCTAGTTGTCTTTGGGCAATTTTCGATGGTTTCTTGGCTTCGACAGTCACAGGTTGTGTCTGACAGTACTAGTAGACTTCTTCCCACTGTGTTTCGATGCTATGGCTGAGGTTCTTCTTGTGTCTAGTACCTGTTAGTGAACTCTGTTGGCCAGCAAGGATTCCGGTGGCATTTTGGGACTCTAGCTGGGGGTGTCAAACGTGTCAGGTTAAACGGGTGACAGGTGAAAAACATGAAAACCTGTACACGACATGTTTAATAAACGGGTAAAAAATCTCAACATGAACACGACCCGTTTAATAAACGAGTAACACGACATGACTTGTTTAACCCGTTTAATTTTTAAAAAAATTATATCAATAAATTTTAATACACCACTTTTTTTTACTGTCAATTGTATTTACCTCAAAAAATAGAAATTTCTAACCAAATTTCGCATGAAAATCAAATTTGAAGGCTAAAAATAAGGCAAGAGGGCACTGTTTTTTATAGACAAGGCAGCCCTCCCCATCTCCCCTCATTTGCTGATGTGGGACAAAAACAAAAAAGGTTGGTTTGCCTTTATCATGAACTGCTCTCATCTCCCCTCATTTATCTTTAAACTACTACTTTACTTTTTGTATTGATCTCTTTTTTTTTTTCTGGCTAATTTTTTAAAATAATTATTAATTTATTATTATATTAATTTTATTTAAACTGATAAACGTGGGATAAACAGTTTGACAGGTCCCACTCAAATACGACCTGTTTATTAAACATGTCTGACGGATCAACTCGTTTACCACTCAAGCTCGTTAACATCTCACCCAAACTCGCTTAATTCGTGTCGATTTGTATCACTTAATCGTGTCATGTCGAATTTTGACTAGCCTAACTCTAGTAGGTCCGTTCAGCACTCTGTTTATTGGGTTGTGGATTTTGGTGACCCACCTGTAGCTGTCTTTGTGCTGGGTAGTTCCCTAATGGTTTCTTGTGTGCTTGATATTCATCAGGGGATCTTTTTTGGTGCCTAGTAACAGCTAGCTTGTCCCTCGGGTTTGGCCTCCTACTTATTTGCTACTTGTGTGGCTTATGTGAAGATTCTTTTAAAGTGTAGGTAGCTATTTTTTTTGTGTTGAGTTAGTCTTAAATTGATAAGAAGCTATGTCTGAAGTTAGTGAAGAAACAACCAACAGTGAGAAGGGTGTAGTGAGTTATGTGGGTACTCTTGGATGCAATCCTTCTCTCCAGATCAGTCCTGTAAAGTTGAATGGAGGAAACTACTTGGCGTGGTCTCGATCATGCCAATTATCGGTGCAGGCAAGTGGATTAAATGAATACTTGACCGGAGCAAGTAAAAAGCTTAAATCTGAACCTGATCTTAGCCGGTGAATCTCTAAGAGTTAGTGATGACATAGTTACTCGATTCGATGCAACCTAATATTAACCAGAGTTTTCTGTTTCTTGAGACAACTTGTGAGATTTGGTTAGCAGTGATTCAGACATATTCCCAGGTTGGTAATAATGCTTAGATTTATGACTCCCTAAGAAGACTCANGGCAAGTGGATTAAATGAATACTTGACCGGAGCAAGTAAAAAGCTTAAATCTGAACCTGATCTTAGCCAGTGAATCTCTAAGAGTTAGTGATGACATAGTTACTCGATTCGATGCAACCTAATATTAACCAGAGTTTTCTGTTTCTTGAGACAACTTGTGAGATTTGGTTAGCAGTGATTCAGACATATTCCCAGGTTGGTAATAATGCTTAGATTTATGACTCCCTAAGAAGACTCATGAAACAAAGCAAAAGGATATGACTCTTGTAGTGTACTATGTAGAATTGAGTAGTTTGTGACAGGAGCTAGATTATTATTAGGATTTTCAGACAAACTGTGCTGGAGATACTGCTAAGNTGTAGAATTGAGTAGTTTGTGGCAGGAGCTAGATTATTATTAGGATTTTCAGACAAACTGTGCTGGAGATACTGCTAAGTTTTAGAAGTTGATAGAGAAAGAACACGTATATTGACTTTCTTGTAGGTCTTAGTATGGAGTATGACTAGATGTCACAGGGTAACTTTCGTTTTTCTTTTGAGGCTACCTGTGAAGGCGTTGCTATTACAACCAGCCACACTCAACTCAAGAATAAGGGACAGAAACTCACACAGAAGGCACACAAATCTATTGGGACAACACTCCCAAACCTTATATATTGAACTCAACAATTTACAAGGACCCTCAAAAGCCAGAACACTCTCTCCCCTCCTGAATGCTCAAGCACCTCTATTTATACAAGAGGAAGGCAGATGACACCCCCATCTGCCAAGGGATAGTTACCCACGTTTTTACTATTCCATAGCATACTGGACTAGTAAACTTGGTCTCTGTGCAACACCTGGCAGGCAGTTCCACCACTTCAAGTAACTGCTGTGNAGCAGGCAGTTCCACCACTTCAAGTAACTGCTGTGGAACTCCCCTTCATCAGCATGCATCTAGACTGGATTCAGACTGGAGACATCCAGAACTGCCTCAGCAACTGCCTTGATTGAGTCTCAGCATCATAACTGCCCACATCCTCCTGGTCACATGCATTGAGCAGCCATGTGCCAATCAGGTGCCCACATTCAGCAGTCATGTGTCCACATTCAGCAGTCATGTGCCCACATTCACCAGTCAAACTTGTTACTCGAACCAATGTGCATGCTGGGTTCAACCCATGCCATGCAATCCGAAGCTCTGCACCCACATTGCTTCAATTGAGCCCACCCATGCTGCCATACTCAACCGGATGGTCTCATGCTGCCTTGGTTCGCCCCAATCTGTCGAACCACTTAGTCGCGTTACCTTGATTCTAATTTCTGGCATGCCTTGGTGCAAGGTGCTACCAAGACCGGCCATTTGCACCCAAGTCAATTAGGGTGTGACACTAGATTTGTATACAAGTTTTGGGTAAAGCTCTTTTTTCCCCCTGAGACAAGCTTAATTCTTATGTGCAGCAAGAGGAGAGTAGGAGGAATACCATGCTTCATACTCCTGCTCTTGATATGCCTACTCTAGCAACTGTACCACAAAGAGAGAACAGTTCTCTAAGCTTCGTGGTGATGGTAAGAATGGAGGAATAGAGGAATGGAGAAGGATTTGTTAAAGTGTGACTATTGTGGGGAAAACGAGGCACATTGATGAGCATTATTGGAAGCTATACGATCATCCATCAAGGGGGCGTTGTGGTAATGAGGCTAGTCCTGTGCGCTCACATGCTCATTTAACTAAGAGTGTTGATCTTATATCCTCCACCAGTGGCCCATCTTCATGTAGTGGTTCTAATAGTGCGAGTTTCACTATAGATGAGATGCAAGATCTCAAACATCTGATGGCCCCGCTTAATGCTTCACCTGCATTTTACTTCCACTTCTGTTGCCTCCAACTTTACTCACACAGGTATACATGTCATTGCTTTTAGTGCCATATGTTCTTCTAATCCATGGATCATCTATTTCAAAGCTTGCTCGAGTCTTTTAACCTCTTATTACACATGTTGTGGTAGAGACAAAGGTAGGGTAGCAGATGACTTATTGTCATCTGTAGCGGGGAAATGTTCCATCTATGTCTCTATCTTCAGTCCTTCATATTCCTAAATTTTCTACTAACTTACTCTCAGTAAGTAACATTACAAGTCTCTAAATTGCTCTGCAACATTCTTCTCTTCTCATTATATCTTTCAAGAACTAAAAACAAGGAGAGCGATCGGCAATGATAGAGCTCATGGTGGTTTATATCTACTGGAGGATTAACCTTCTAAGGCACTCCAAGCTTCTTGTTTTGTGGCCCTCCAACAGTTACATCACTGGCATCGAAGACTTGGTCAGTAGGAGTTTTAGAGAAAGTTTTTTAAGTTTGATAAAACAATATAATACAGATAATTTTCTTTGTGATGAGTGTGACTTTGCCAAGCATACAAGAACTGCTTATCCTAGCAATAATAATAGAAGTACTACTCCATTTATGATTGTTCATTATGATATTTGNAGTGTGACTTTGCCAAGCATACAAGAACTGCTTATCCTAGCAATAATAATAGAAGTACTACTCCATTTATGATTGTTCATTATGATATTTGAGGACTATCTCGTGTTGTTTTTCTTGTTGGATATCGATGGTTTGTTTTTTTCATTGACTGCTATACAAAAGTTACTTGGGTTTATTTGTTGCATAACAAAAATGAAGTATTTACTTGTTTCAAGAACTTTTATATACTAGTTAATACTTAGTTNAAGTTAC